CGTCGGGAGGAACAACCCCACACTCCTCGCCCTCCAGCAGAGCGTGGAGAAGGTCCTCGCGGTGTCCGGCAGTAACCCCCAGGCCGCCCTATCGGGTGAACGCACTACGGCCTACGACGACGCAAACGACGTCGACGACAACGACAGCACCCCGCCGCCGCCGGGACAGCCGCAGCAGCCAAAAAGTCTGGATCCCGCAGACGTCGGCCCCCCACCGTCAGCACAAACGACCAAGGACCGTCAAGCCGGCAGCGGCAACCCGGCACGTCTCAGGCACACCAAGAGCCCCAGCCTCTTTCTGTCAGATGACGACGACGACAGGTCTTCCCCCCACCCCTGCTACACCAACCAGTCAGTCACCAGCAGCAGCAGGCGGGGGCTACACCACTGACAACGGTGCCTTCCATAACGGCCACCACCCCTGCTAAGAAACCAATAGCGCACTGGAAGAAGGGCCTACGGGCTGGGAGTGGTGGGAGGCGCTAGGCCCAAGCGCAGGACGGCAATCGACAAGGCAGGCCGTTCATCTAAACAGAGCCGGTCTGTTGTGCAGGGCAACAGCACAGTTCTGTAACCGCCATTCCTACCAACATAGCTGTCATGTCTTACTGCTACCTGTTGCATATTTCTCATACGACCACCCGTTTGTTAGCTAGGACTATGGTAATTACAGTAGAGTCATAAGATTCCAGCTGATTCGTTTTACAGAAGCAGAAATGCCCCGCGGGGCTTTTTCCTCCCTGGCGCTTTACCATAAACGTAGTCACGACGACTGTTTTATTTCCCTTATTCCTATCCCAATGTATGTATACTACCTCTGCGCAGGATTCCCTTAGTAGGCAGGAGGAATTCACTATAGATGAGAGGAACAGGGTGTCTCGTTGTCATATGCCTACATCACTAGAGAGGTTGTGTTGCATCGCCGTATCAACCAACAGTGGAGAGTCCAGGGGCGAGGAAAACCTGTATATATAATTAGATAGACACCTGACCCTCGAGGAGCAGCCCAGAGCTAGACAACAAGCGCCCATCATCAAAACACCATTCCTACCGAAATGTCTGCCGAGCATAACCCTGACGACGGGCCTTGGGACGCCGACGATGCAGTAACCCTTGGCTCTGACCCGTGGAGGGATGAGGGCGACGACAATGAGGACGACGAGCGAGGGCCAGCCAGGCCCTCGCAGCGGTGGGCCATCGATCATTCCACAGGTCACCATCGCCTTCGAGGTAAGCACCCCCGGGAGGAGGAGGACGAGCGCAGCGGCCGGCCAACTCACCTTGGGAACAGCGGCTCGCTTTATCGAAAGAGTGCTGGCGGAGAATTTCGAGCCCGCCGACGCGCTGAAGATGATGCAAGAGAAGCACACCATCGACTTCGGGTCCCGCCGGGCGGGCGGTACCGAGGCGCGGCCCTCGGACGGCTTCTTCCCGCAATTCCACCTCGACTTCTTTAGCGTCGTAGGGAAGCCGGGCCGGCCGATTTCGAGACGCCACGGCCCCATGCTAGACAACATCACCGTGTCCTTCAAGCGGTGGTCGGCACCGTACGGAGCAAAGCACGTGAGCGGGATCCCCTTCGACATGACGGGCCGCACCTTCCGGATCGCGCAGGCGGCCACGCGCGAGACCTGGTTCATCGTCATGCACCCGGTGACGGGCGAGATGTCGGAACTGCCGCGCTCGACCGCCGACGCGCGACGGAGGCGGGAGCAGGCCGGCGAGAGGAGCGGGATGCCGATGCCGCTGGCACGCCAGCTCGCCTCGTACATCACCGGCATCTTCCAAACCCCCGGGCTCCTCGGCGAGGGCGTCGAGCCCTCCTGGCGCCCCGGCGGCCCGGAAACCCAGCGGATCGACTCGAGACTGTGGACGACGTTCCAGGAGAGGTTCATGGAGGGGTGGGCAGCCTGGTCGCACCGACGCGGGACCGGTTCGTTCTGGGCGAAGCACGAGCCGGCCTTCCACGCCTACGACTACGGCGCCAACATCGAGATCAAGGCCAGCGAAGAGCTGTACGACCTCCCGCAGGAGAGGCACCGCTCCGTCGAGGAGGAGGAAGGGACGGACGACGACGACGACACCGACGACGACGACGACAACAGCATTCGTCGTCAGGACGGAGACGGCGACGAGACGCTCCAACTAGGGGCGCTATCGATGACGGATGAGCGGACCGCACCGGCGGGGGCGGGAGCAGGCGGCGACGGGCGTGCCGACGGCAGCACGGACGACGCGCGTTACCAGCGCATCCTAGGCGAGAGCAGCGACCTCCAGCAGCTCATCGTCGCGCTAGAGGCGCGTTTCCAGCTAGAGGCCATCACGGCCGTCACGTACGCGCTTGCCGTCTGCATCCACAGCGACAGACAGGCCGGGGCCGAGGCCGACGACACGGAGACGCGCTGCCTGCTGGCCGACAGGAACATGCTCGCCAGGGAGTTCTCAAGCGCCCGGGACTACACCTTCTACCCGCAGGCGTTCCACCCGGTCTACGGGAACCTGTCCTCCGAGCGCCCTCCCAAGTTCTTCGACTCGCTCTTCGCCGCCATGAAGGGGAACATGAGCGACCGGAACGAGGGCGCCGACGTCTTGTCGTTCGGCTACTTCCAGGGCTACTCCAACATCAAGCGCAGCGTCCGCCACAGCCCGCACGACCTGCTTGCCACCAAGGGCTACGCAACGGCCGCGTTGACGGTGCCGACGTCGGACGCCGGGGCCACGTCGGCGGCGAGGGAGAAGCGCGAGCGGCTGCTGCGCATCATCCGCGGCCCCGACGAGTCGAAGCCCTTCGCAAGGGAGCGGCAGCAGATTAACGTCGCCATTGAGGGCCAGGAGGTAGCGTTCCGCCTCGAGCAGGTGGTCTCCCTCAACGTGCAGCGCATGGTCGCCAGGCAGCGAACGTTTGAGACCGTCTTCCGGCCCGTCTTCCAGATAATGCGCTTCTTCCTCGTCGAGCACAGGTCGTACGTGCACATCTTCCGGTCCCTCCCACCGGCCGTGTTTCCCCGCATCCTGTGCGCCTACACGCGGCTCTTCGAGCTCGCGCTCAGCGAGATGGAGCGCCAGTTCGTCCTCGGCGGCGAGCAGGGGCTGGATCTCGCGCGCTCGGAGGCCGTCGCCGTCATCGACCGGCTCGGCGGGTACATGTTCTCGGGCCACCCGCGTCACCTCCCCAAGACGGCGCTCAGGCCACTCGGCACCTTTGAAAGCCTCTGGGCCGGCGGGTGGCCGTTCCTAGACCCGGCCGTCCTGGACCTCGGGGCTTTGGGCTCCGGCGGGGCCGTGATCAACATGGCCCGGTGGCCCCACTCCGCCAAGACGGGCCGGCCCGTGCTGCTCCACGTCCGGGAACTCGCCCACCACTACGGCGCCCGGGTCGCCTCCTGCCGCGAGAGCGCCATCTGGTTTGCGCTGCTGGGGGAAGGCGCCTTTACAAGCAAGACCGCCGTCACCGCGTTCGCCGAGGAGGTCATCCGCGAGCTCTGGATCCCGCAGACCAAGGACTTCCTCGTCCAGCAGCTCAGGCGTCGGCTCCACGAGGGGGGCGGCGACGAAAGCAGGCCCATCACGACGGAGGAGATCGACGCGTGCAGGGAGGCCATAGCGGCCTGGGAGGCGGCGGCCGACGCGTTCACGTGGAAGGCGCTCCAGCAACTCTGCCGGGGCCTAGGGCCTGGCGGCAAGCGGGTGGCCATGACGGCGACCGGCCGGCGTACGCGGCACGACTTCGTATCCGAGCTGCTGAGGGTCATCGGGAGCGAGAAGGGCAGGGACGCCTTCGCAGCCAAGAACGCGACGTGGCCGCCGACGCTGCACTTCGCCATCGCCAACGGCCAGAGGGCACAGGGCGGGCTCGACTCAGCCATGTGGACCAGCGTCTTCACGGGCTGTCTCGTCGTCGCCGGCATCGAGTGGGTCCCCGACGCCCCCCTGGGCCGGCTGACCTCGAGGAACGTCGTGCGGCTGGGGGGCCGACGATGCTGGAGCCGGCGCCGTCCGGGCCGCCCGGGTCGCTCCGGAGGGCGGCACACGAGGCGGAAATCAAGCACAGCAAGACGTTGCGGGAACGAGACCAACGCCAGGAGCACCGCACGCGCATCGACTTCGGCTGTCCCGTACCCTTCACCAACATCCCCAGCCTCATCCTCTCCGCCTTTGAGCAGACCAAGGCGATATTCTCCCAGGACGGCGGCGACACTAAGGTGCTAGACCACTACCAAGTCGCAATGAACTGCCTCGCCGAGAACATCGACGATCCTCTCTGTCACCTTATGCTTATGATGACGCTGACGGTGTGCGCGTCGTCAGAGACGCCCCAGGTGGCGCCGAGGGAACAGGCCTTCAGCGTAACGCCCAGGAGGAAGGACCCCAGGCAGCTGGCGCTGGTGATGGTTACACGGATGATGTGGTTCCTCTATCCTAAAGCGTTCCCGTGGAAGAAGAACACGGGTGGGACGGCGTACGACGTATCGGAGATGACGAAGAAGATAGGTCAGTCGGTCCGAGGCGTAGGCCATGGTCGTCACTAACCCGTACCGGTAGAACACAAGGGCTGCAGTAACCGGATGCTGCGAGAGCTTGGCTGGATCCTCGGCTCTAACAATCGAGACACCCCACGCAACAGCGAGGCAAAGTTGCAGACGCCACCTGTCCTACTTGACATGGCGAAGGCGTTAAAGTCGGCAATGAAAAGGCCTGAGGAGTTTATCAGCATAGTGTTTAGCTCCAGTGATGCCATCTGGGTTGAGCGGTGTGCCAGTATTATCCAGTGTGGCCCAAGATAACGACATGACACTGTGAGACGTAATCCTTTGATGTTATCTATTCCAGGCTAGGTTTTATAACCAGATTATACCCCTTAGTAGTAAGCTCTGTCGGCTTGAAACAGTAACTAAGACTCCTGCAAGAAGAAGGCAGAACGCTTCTTCTACGCGGCCTAGTATCCTCTTGTAGTAGCTGTAAAGCAAAAGCTGGGAAGTATACGAACGCAAAAGGAAAGACATACAACACCGGGTATTCGCCGATCGTCACCGACTCGACTACTGATCCAGCCCTCACCAGCTTATCTATGGGAGAGCGGACGGGATCCCGAGCTTTCAAGTAGGTATGGTCGTATGTGCTGGTCTGCAGGGAAAAGGATGGCTGAAGTAGGGCGGAAGGTACCCTGCTATAATATCCATAATAGACTGAAGTAATCACAGGTGTAAAGAGAGAGGGGGTACGTATTTACAGTGTAAGTAAGGATCTTAATACGTAGCATAAGATTAGGTAGGGTAACCCCACTGGTTAACGCTGTATTTTTACCAGGTATACATATATAATACAATAAATACGCTGTACTAGGTAAAAGGTCGGGACGTAGTAAAGTAGTAAGATAATAAAGCACGAGAATTATACCAGGCAGTAGAATAAATAACACAAGGAACAAGCAATGGCCCAAGTAAATGTAGGCAAATCTAACCAAGCTAAACAAATAGCTAGTGTCTCCTACGGAAGGTTTACCTAGCCCTTAACATAAAGAAAAAGAAAAAAAGAGCGACCGCACTAGGGCTTAAACCTAGATCTTCTCCTTCGTTAGGGGATTGCTCCACCCTCATGAAGCCTTTATTTATAGTTAAGATATTATCTGGATGAGGCGGTGTAAGAGCTTTATTAACTCTTAGCGGTGCCGGATAGATAAAATAAGTCTAAAGGTTGTTTTGAAAATTGCCTCCGACCTGGCGGTAAGTAATTATAGAACAACAGGAGACGGCCCTTTATATTTGAGCTGGTCGTAGCATGAAGGAAAGTTAAACCCAAGAACAACATAAAAAGAGAGGGTAAGAAAAGGAAAAGAAACCGGCCTATACCTGCAGCTCAAACTCAGACCTAACCCTTAACTCAGGGGAAGCTCTACTATTAAGCTAGCGGGCCCTTAGCTTCAATTCATACTCAAGCGTTCGGCCACACCAGCGTCAACAGCAAGACCCCTGTGACTATGTCTATTGCCATTTCCGACGCCAGGGCTCTAGTACTCCCCGCCGTCGGTCGTCTTCACCAGCTCCTGCCCATATATCACGGCGGGACCTGATCATAAGTCGCCGGCCGCTGTACTAACAAAGCTAGTGCAAGTCCCCAGTCTGTAGATTCCCCTAAGGCCGGGCATCCATGGGCCATGACCTGAAAACCTTGCCGATACCCACGCCCAACCCAGAAACACATTCATCGCCAACCTTAAGTATGATAACAATCACTCCATCCTTAACAATTGACAGGCTGTATACGTTGACGGCAGAGGGCCTCTTTAACTAAGGGGAACGTCTGGGTTCAATCCCTAGCGTAGTCATTCTTTTTTTCCCCGGTAACATTTTGCCTCATATTGGCTATAAACTCCAGGCCTTTCCTTCCCCGGGACCCTAAGCACACAAGGCTTAAACAACCCCAACCAGCCTGTGCATGACGCGACTTCGGAGACATATGCCTGTCTTACGGCAGCCGTCCTATCAGAGTGGCTTTATCACAACAGCCAACAGTCCGTCAGGCTGGTCCATACCTGGCATGACTCTACCCTGAAGAATACTATCACATTAAGGCGACTGCCACCGAGGCCGGAGGGGTCCACCTAAGACACTCCTTGCTGCCTTGTAGAAAACAAAAATAAGGAGACAAGAAAAAAGAAGACAGAGAGAGGGGGGGAGGAAGGGGAGGGAGCTGGCTTAAGTCTGGTCCTGGGAGATGGCAAATAAGACAACAAGGAGAGACACTGTGACTGCCCCTGTGCTCTGTTAACAGCCGTAGCTGACTTAATACTGGTCAGGGTTTCAGTTTGGCACCGGTTTTCAGAGGATTCCTAATGACAGTGGCAGTGCAGCCGAACCAGTTACAAAACAGGTTGTTCTGGCCAGTGAACATTAGAAGACCACCATAGTCTCGTATAGACTGCCATCTAGGGTTTATCCCCAGCCATAACCTAAAAGAATCTAACAACTACAGCCACATGCCCTAGACGTAACACAGCCTGCAGCACAGCCCGCCGTAAGAGAATTACAGTCCTGCCAACTGCCACACGTACTCCAAGCGCCGAGGCCAAACTTCTCAGCAGTCCAACACCATTCGCCCTTGATCTTATCCCCGCAGGCCTTCCAGCAGTACCCACTAGAACAACCATATGGCGCCCCGTGGTAGCACGACCTCTCGCCAAGCGGAAGGCTCGAAGGGACGGGGGTTTCACCGGCGGAAGGCACGCCCCCTCGGCACCACGATCCACAGGAGCCAGCGACGCGCCCTCTGCCGGGTCGAGGACACGCACATCGCCATTCGGATGGCCAGCACACATACGCAGGTCGGCAGGAGACACGCCCTCTGGTAGCTGGCTGGTTTCGACGTTGAGGACGCCGAGGTCCCCGCAGAGGACGGCGGCACGCGTATCACCCAAGCTCAGCGCAGCCACCGCATAGGCCGTGGCGGCGTAGCCGAACAGAAGGAGGTTTCTCACGGGCGTCATTGTATCGTCTCTATATACCCGTTAGCATACCCTATGGCCTAACCTAGCCTGCTGAGATGGCTGGCTTAGGATGTGTAGCGTACTAGTGAATAATTATTTCAACGCGCTGTTTCGTTAATGTTGATGAAGAGGTAGAGGATGAGAGAAAGCAGGCCTGGGTCTTCTAGCAGCAGCTGACAGAACTGCTTAAGTATTACAGCCCCCCTACTGCCTTAGGGAGGGGAGGGAGGTGAACCGAAGTCTTACCTGCGGCGCAGCTCGGAGACCCCAGGCGTGTAAGGGTCGTATGTAGAAACACAAATGGTATGAACCAACAGTGATATTAAGGGCGGGGTATATGGTACGATAATACCTCCACTAGGAAGGTGTTTGTTGGTTGTCATGGTTATACCTGTAGGCGACGCAAAAGGCCCCCCCACCATGCCACGCTAGGGTTTGTTGGTCCATCATTTAGGCTACGCATTCAACCGGGTGTACACAGGCAGAGGGAGTCACGGCGTACACAGATAATACCGTCGACCTGATGAACGTCTACGATACGCAGACAGACAATAAGTGGTTTGCATCCCTAAGCTCAGCAAGGCTGAAAAGGAAGCTGATGTGACGGATGCCGAGCTTATGGACAAGCTGCCGTCTGACTGCTTGTCCCGGTGTGGTAAGGTTCGTCGGCTAGGGCCGTCCGGGTGTGTCGTCCAGTGGGGATTAAGAGAACAGGCCTAGGCGAGCCATACCGGGGTCTCTTGCGCCAGGTTCGTTCCAGGGGCCTGACTAAGCACGAATACAACGTGTATGTAATACACCTCAGCAAAACGACGAATCACAACCGGTCGGGGTTAGGCCGAGGCCGCCGAGTGTGGCCATGGGTGCCTGTTACAACCTGACAGTACAGCCAACCCCCCTCTGTTGGTGTTGCGGCCACATCGTCCTTCCTCCTGTTCTTCCTCCAACCTCCTGCCAGGGCTGTTCTTGCTGCGCGATCCTCCACTCTACAATCATCACCATGCGGTTTTCAACACTCTCAGCTACGGTTACCTCCGCGACCCTCGGCGCCATGGCGCTACGGGTGTCTTGTAAGTGTTATCTATCCTTCCTGCCGGGCCTGTCCCTGAACAAGGCTTTCCTCTTACCACGGTACGAACAGTGACGTACGACACGATCTACGACGAGGGCAAACGGTCGTTAAGCGAGGTGGCATGTTGGAACCCGAATGTCCCCGGGCTGTTCCGGGAGGCGAACGACTGGCTCGTGCAGGAAAACGTAGCGCCGGGGATTCTTGCGATGCCTACGATCACCGGGTGGGACGACGGCGACTGCCTATCGTGCTGGGAGGTGAGGTGGGAAGAAGGGGAGAGAAGCAGGGTGCTTCTTGCGGTCGACGGGTCGCAGAAGGGCTTTGTTACGTCCCTCGAGAGGATGAACTCGCTCACTAACGGGCAAGCGGAAGATTTTCAGTCGGTTGGGCCGCTGGAGGTGAGCGCGACTCGGGTGGGGCTTGAGAACTGTGGATTTGCACCGGGGGATATAGGCAAGGTGAGGTCAGATGAGCTTTAGGGCCGGGCCAGGGGGATGACGGCGGCAGGTGGACATCGTAACGGGCTGCGCCCGAAGGAGGCCTTGCCGGACATCGTGGCTAAGGCCAACGGAGGCCAAACTCAACCAGGCCTACTACAGAACCCGCGACGCCGGCAACCTGATGGTTAGTATTTAATACACAGAAAAAGAAAAAAAATAGTGACTGCACCAGGACTTAAACCCGGATCTGCTCCCTAGTTAGGGAGTACTCTACCCTCAAGCTATACAGCCTTAACTTGTCGTCCTATCCGTCATTGCGGGTGGTATTCTGGCCGATTACCAGGGTTAGGGTCCGGTGATTGGGTGCAAAAAAGGCAGAGTGGCCCGTGCCCTGTCGCCGACTTCTTTGCAGCCGATTACCGTGGGGGGTTGAGGTGTGCTGCCCCGATAACCCCAAGGGAAGGAAGCACAGACCACGACGCAGCTGCCCCACCTCCACCCACTTCACTTCATCCAGCCCCCTTCCTAGAGAGTCAGCTTATTGAACAACGCAATGCCATCGCCTGTTTCCAACCCCTTGATTTGTGCCTCATACTTACTAGCGTTCTACTTCCTACATAGAATTATAATTATACGTACATACTTAGGGTTACTAAGGTTAAAGCAGGCTTTTTATACTCCCCAATGCTGGTACTCCACAGGGATGTTGTAGAACAAGCCGGACTCACAACCCAGAACCAGAGTATACAGCAGGACCGGAGCGGTATGGAACCGCTACACACCAGGGTTACAGGCCCGGCATTCCAGAATACAGACACAGGGTGGTATGTGCAGACTCTAGGGGCCTTCATCTTCTCACAGGGACGTTGTATAACAAAACAGGCTGGATATCTAGAACCGGGGTAAAAAACGGGACCAGATGGGCATAGGGGTGGGTTGTACAGAGTCACAGGGTTTGCAGAACCAAGACATTCCGTAGTACACCTAGACTTCAAAGGCTTCCATCTCGTCGCCGGGACGTCGTATGACAAAACGGACTGGATATCTGGAATCAGGGCAAAAAATGGGACCGGATGGGGATATAAAAAGCCGGGCACTCCAGGATTCGAACCCAGGTCTCCCCCAAGCTCTCAAGGGAGGGAGGTGTTCTAGACCACTGAACTGAGCGCCCCATTCCAGTCGTTAGAAGGTATTCCGACCCAGGGGCTTATATGAGAACGGCACCAGCAGCACGCAGGGTCATTGCGCAAAGGGACAGCAGACACGGTTCACGCGCAGGGTCATCACGCAAGAGGTCGGCGTAGGCAGCACAGCAACGCAAGAGAGCAGCGCAGTAACACCAGAGGACGACAGACGCAGGCCAGGCGTATGCGGCACGGCAAGGAAGGAGAGTAGCAGACGCAGGCCGGAAGTACGCAGCGCAGCAACATAGACGCAGGTAGAGCATACACAGCATAAGCACTACAAGGCAAGAAGGGTAAGAGAGAGGTAGCATAAGATTAACGCAAAAGGACACCAGAGGTAGACAGGGTATATATAGTAGTAGTACAGCATAAGAGACAGACAAGAAGAGTGAGATATAGATAAGGATAAAGAGATAGAATAGAGGCAAGAGAGAGAGAACCTATAGACCGCAAGGCAACTGCTGTAGAGGTATGTAGGCTCTTGTTATCATTAACCCTAAGTACTATCTGTCACTTTACTGTCTTATGGTTACTTTGTAGCTTTTTATTTTTTCATAAGACTAAAGGTTAGTAAGAAGGTGTCAATGGAGTAGATTCTAAGGCTAGTACTTTAGAAGAGACGTAGCCCTAGCATAGGCCTGTTAGCATTTAAGCGTCACAGGATATAAGGCGTTCGTTACTGGCTGTAATTGACTGCGTCGTTTTTGCAGCAATAAGGCAGTAGACTAGCCTAGAAACCAAGTATACGTATAGTCTGCTGTAAGAACCAACTAACTAATGATACGGATCTAATCATGATAGTGGGTGTGTGCTGCCGTTCTCCTTTGGCAATGACTATAGCCAACCTCCCTTTTTATTCCCAGCCGCCAGACCCTTGCGTTGTTTGGGTGCCTGGCTGCCAATCCACCCCATCCCATCACAACGTCCATCGCTGCATCATCACATTCTGCAGTCGCCGATAGTGGGTCGTATAGGTGGCTCTGGTTCGGTCCGCCGTGCTCCATCTTGTTTGAGTCGAAGTGTGTGACCGATGGTATATGGGCATCGGAGGAGTCTGACTCCTTGGCTGTATGATTCTCTGGCTGGTCCGTTGCTGTTATAGTGTCCGAACCGGTCGGGCCCCTGCCACTATTCTTGTTTCTGGCCATTTCTTCCTCTTTTTGCAGGACAAAGAGATCGGAATCCTCAGAGGCAGTGGCAGGAGACCCCATTCCGGGATAGTGAGCAACCAGGGTTGCCCGTTGCACATCATTCAAGTCCATGGGTTGTTCTTGAGAAACTGTCTCATCGATCTGCGGGGAAGAATTGACAACGGCAGCTTTGCCGTCAGGGAAAGAGGAATGCTGGCTGTTCGTGCTTGCACCATCTTCTCCGCTGTTTGATCCCGAACCGAAGATTGAGCCAGACGAAAGGCTCGGTCCCTTTCCCTCGCAGGAAGTGTTTATGACAAGAGAGGGACGTGGCAACTTTGACTGAGTCGAGCCGAAACGAGAAAGGAAAGCACGACGCCGGCCAAAGATCTACCAGGCTCTTGGTAGGAAGAGAAGAAGAGCCGAGTGGTGTTGGAGATGATCGTGGTAGAGGGCTTGGAGTATGTTGTATTGAATCGAGCAAGCTTGTTGAGGTGGAGGGGAAGTTGAAGAAGTGGACGGCCCGAGGGGAAGAAGACTTTTTATAGGTTGAGGAAGAAGGGGACCTTCCCACTCGAGCACTTGGGGAAGTAACGCTGGGTATCTTGCGTTGAAGACAAACGGAAGGCACGAGGCTTGTGGTAGAGCCGTAAGAAGAAAGCGCAAAAGTGCAAGAGTGGAGAGAAGCACCTGCCTTCTAACGAGGGCGGCTGGCGCTTACGTCCTCTTTATTACAATACCTTACTACCAACTAGGCGGCAGGTACCGCATTGCTCCATCGTACTTAGTCGCACTACGCCACATTATAAGTAAAAGCGTTCGAATAGATATCCACACGCATTCGTCCGGCTATTCTAGACAGGTCGCCACTGTCACCCTGTGACTTAGTCGGTTTAGCGTGCAGTATCTTCCTGACTTATAGTTTGATGCCGTCTGAAATGATGATGCCATGGCGATCGTTATCAAAGACGACGAGAGCCTTGTCAAGTGCGTCTATTTATAACGAAAACACTTCACGAAGCAACGCCATCGCCAGTTTCCAACCTGTCGATACGTACGAATGCCCCGCAGAATATCCCCCTTGTCATGCCAACAGGAGGAAAGGAGGGAAGGCTTAGGGTGGCGAGTGTAAGGAGCCCTCGCCCCTATAAAAGCCGCAGGCGCAGCCAAGGGCAAGAGGCAGGCAACCAGCAGTGTACCTTGAAGATGACGCCCGGGAGCGAGGGCAGCCATGTTGGCGCGCTTGCGCGTAGGCATCGGTCCACCGCCGGGCCTCACGCCAGCCCTGCCCCCAACCCTCTATCGGCCAAGGCCCCGGCAGGCACGGCCCAGACAACGTGCCTGCCCCGGCCGGCGGACCGCCCAAGGTGACAACCGGCGGCCGCCTTCGCCCAGCAGCTCGCGGCACCCGAGGCACCCGAGCGCAGGTTCTCGCAACCGACTCACCGGCGGCCCTCACCCCGCGGAGCCCCCGCGGAGCCCGTCAGAAGCACGGAAAGCCACTACGGTGCGCCGTCGTTGCCTCCAACCACCGTCCTCCCTGGTTCATTCAACCGTGAATATAAGAGGGGGTCCATCGACAACGGAGGCCGCGTCTCAACGGCAGCCCTCAACAGGCCCGCCGTCCAGACACACCCGGCGCCAGACCTTCCACCCGGTCACGCACACTAATGGCCAAGCCGCGTCAGAAGAAAGGCGAAAGCAGGAGGAAGAGGGCGGCCGCGGCGGATTTTATACAGGGCGACACGGCCCCACAGCCAGGTGGCTGGCCGACCAGGCCAAGGGGGTGCCTTCTAAGCACTTCCTATCGGCAACCACGGGTTTGGTGCCGGCTGCAGCAGGGAGAAGAGGAGACTGCTTCTTGTAGCCGGAGGAAGGGCGGAGGATGGGCCGACCGTCAGCGCCCGCCCACTCACGCGTGAATACGCCGGCGATAGCGGGGAAAGGAGAAAGAGGAGATGCAAGGTTGAGCGCCGCCGCCGTCTCTGGCGAGCGGGCCGGGCCGGCAGGGCTCAGGGTTTGCCAACAGCCAACGGTCTGGGCATAGTCCCCAGGATGCCGTGCAGGAAGGGGACAGGAAGCGGCCCTGTAGAGACAGAGTGGCCGGTCTTTATACAGCAGGAAACGGCAGGGTGGCTGCCCTTTCCAGAAGGCGCCCGGTACGAACGATGGCCATACGAAGCTCCAGCCCCAGCCCTTGGCCAGTCTATTTCTAGCCACTTCCTCGGCCTTCTTCTTGTTCAGCCATACAAAGCAGGGCTACACCAAGAAGGGAAAGAACAACGGCAGCAGAAGAAAAGCAGGGTCAGGGCAGAAAGAGAAGAAGTACAAGAACCCCCCCCCCTATGCCTATAAAAGCCACAGGTTAGCTAATGGCAGGAAGAAAAGAAGGGCCTAATGGGTTTAGTATAAGTAAATAGGCTTCAAAATAACCATAGGTCCAATAGTGGCGAACCTATATAGACACCCATAGGTATTTTTTAAGTACTTATATAGGCCATAGGTTATATAGGGTATAGAGATGTATGGTAGACCTATTTAGGGTTTACATTATACTCATTAATTATACTACTACTTCTTCTGCTTAGTAAACGTTCTATTTTTAATAAAAAGCAAAGAGTATTAATACAGTAACGTACATGATAAGCGAGCGCGCCAGACAAGCGAGCGCGCCACCTAACCGCAACCACAACACAAAACCCAGGAGACATCAACATCAACAACACTAAATCAATTAAAACTACTCAGAATCCTCTTCCTCAGACGTTTCTACATCAAACTGGCATGTTCGCGCATTGTGTCCTGTGTTCCCGCAGATGCCACACCGCCGTTGACCTGATTCAGTCCTCGGCTTGCGACCACTACTCCGACGCGTTTCCTCCTGAACCTGCGCTGTTGCATCCCTCTGTGACTGTATATCCTCTGCATCAGCTACAGTAAGACTTCCTCCTTGCTGGAGACGTGTTTTCTTAGTTCT